AGAGCTGAGATTGTTCAGCCTAGAGAAGAGAAGGCTGGGGTGGGGGGGGGTCTTATCAATGTGTATAAATATCTGATGGTGGGGTCAGGCAGTAAAGAAAACAGAGCCAAATTCTTCTCAGTGGTGTCCAGTGATCAGATGAGATGCAGTGGGCACAAACTGAAACACAGGAAACCCCACTTGAACACAGGAAAATACTTCTTCACTGTGCAGGTGGTTGCACACCGGAACAGGTTGCCCAGAGAGGTAGTGCGGTCTCCATCCTTGCAGACACTCAAAACATGACTGGACACGGCCCTGGGCAACCTGCTCTAGCTGACCCTGCTTCAGCAAGAGGTTGGACCATATGATCTGCAGAGGTCTCTGCCAGCCCCAAGGATCTGATCTTGTGATTCACAAAGGTTTAGAGAGACAGAAAATCACAAACTATGAAGAGGCACTAGAGAAAACAGAAGCCTTGCTATAGTTATATACTTAACAAGCACAGAGCAGAATCACCTTTATTCTTTTGTTCCATTACTTCCCAAATCATTTCCACTTACTTGGGCACGCTGAGCTGTGCATTTTTGAGTAGTACAGTAAATTTAAGAGTAAAGAAGAGCATGATACAGATACAAATATATAATATGCAGTGATAAGTTTAAATGATTATTGTATGGAAGTTATAAAGTCAATAGCAAAGTGAAAGCTTGGAAAGTGTAGATACAGTAAACAAGCTGCTGAGAAAATAAATACTGTTTACATACTGCCTAATGTATAATACATACTGCCTAATTCCAAGCTAGAGGCCAAATAGCATAAAAATAGCTTAAATTAACGTTGTCTAAAAGAACAGCAAAGTTCTTTTTGTAACAATCTTATAGAGGAGCACTGTTTGTTTATCACCAGCATATCCGCAGCAACACGTAGGCCATTGTTTAAGGACTTAGGTAAAAATTGCTGCGACTCTGAAAATATCTCTTTGTTTTTAAACCAGCTCTCTTAAAAAACGTCCATCAGCAAGTCCACTTGAGTGTTCTTGCTGCACACTAGAAATAAAACTGTATTTAGACAAAATATTTTAAATTATAAGTTTAGGCACAATCCTGCAGTCTTTATCCAAGCAAACTTTCACTACAGTGAATTCAATTTTTACTTCAATACAAGACTGGCGGGGAAGCATCCTGTGTCTCTGCCTCACTTCCTTATGTCTGAGATTTTTCTCATTGCAAATTTTCTGTAATTTCTTTTTCTTTTAGAACCCAATCCTACCCCACTGAAATCACAGGTGTTCCCCCTCATATCAAGACTTGTAATGCTAGCGAGGTCTTTCAGCAGTTTATATTATAAATTTTAGAGGTATTTACTATTTTCCCCACAATCAAATGAGTTTTGCATCCTTGCAATACAGACTATTGATCAGCCTGCACTATGAGCAACTATGGCTTAATGGCATCTCAGCGTCCTTCCCACATCTACAGTTCACTAGTGAGAAATTCAGTATATGATATCCAAAATTCCCATGGCACAACACTACACAATGCAGTAAGAGAGAGAGTGTGCGCGTGCACAAGAGAGAAACAAGATTTCTTTTTTCTTAATTGCAAAAGGAAGAGAATTACAGTAAGTTATAAAAATTGATCTCCATCCTCTCTATTAGCAGTCTATTTTTGTGTCCTAAAACTTAAGAACTCTCTCTTCTCACTATCAGATTTAGAAACACAAACCCTGTAACAGGTGCAAACGTTCAGTTTTCTGCCTTCTGTAAAAGAGCAGTTGCCAAACTTGAGTTAAAATTGTATACGCAATAGGAAGCAATTTTAATCTCCCACCTATACTCAATATTAATTCTTATTGGACTGTAGTACATAGATATAGCAACCATTAAGACTACATTATGAATTACTTCTTGCACAACATTCCTCGGTATTAAAACACAGCTTATTAAACAACAATATTATGAGAGATCATAATTCCATGCATGCAGCCACTAAAAAATATATTAGCTATTTCAAATGTGTGAGGTTTTTTATTTTTCAAAGTCAATACAACCTACAAGTGAATATTTGGGGTCACTCAGGTATACGTTCATATACAGCCAGAAACAACTTTTCTAGCACAAAGCACAAAACTTTTCTTCTAACCCATCCATTTAACTATCAAATATGAAAGGTTTGGATCCATAATTTTTCCACTCTTCAAGTAAAATGGAAATCTGAGTCTCAGTCAAAAGAAGTAAGAGCAAAGTTTTTTTGAAAAAAAAAACAAACCAAAAAAAAAAACAAAATAAGTATTCCTTCCTCTTCAGCAAAAACACTGTCAGCAAGTTAATGCTGCAGTGACTTTCATTTCAAGTAGATCAGACACAATTTACCATAAACTGTAACAAGTGTTCACATCATATTCTAAAACAGCGTCTGCAAAATATGTCCTTAGTTTGGGGAGGTTTCTTTGCTTTTTAAAGCAAAAAAGCAGAATTTTGCTTATTCATCCTTTAGAGTATGAGTCTCAAATCTGAAGCTTCCTCTGTTACAAAGGTCACTGCTGAATTAAAATAACTACTACAGAACCAGAATTTTCAGGAAGAGAGGCAAACAGCCCTTTGGATAAATCACAGCTGTAAAGCAATATTCCCTGCTCTGGTAATGACTGCTTATATAACTGAAGGCAAGTCATTACCCTGTTGAATTACCCAGGTGTCAAACTTGACTTAAAATACCTGCCTTTTTTTTGAAAAAGTGTTAAAATCTATGCATAAAGCAAACTTTAATTAGCAGGTCTTATTACTACACCCCCCCCATCAAGGAAGCTTTGACAAAACCTCGTAATAAAGTCAAGCACTGAAAAAAAGTTTACCCTGAAATCCAGAATGCATAGCCTGTACAGCTTTAAATTTGGCCCCTTTGTGCAAATGGTTATGACATAGTTTGTGGTCGTATATGTAAAGGCTGTTTTTGTCAAAGGATTCTAACACCTCATTCACTCAATGAGCAATCTTCTTCTGTTTTACTTTGAGCTTATTGTTCAAGGTCCGCCTCAACTAAAATTAGAGGCCTTATTCGCTGAGCACTTTCAAACCACACTCTCATGATCAAATTATTCATTTCCTTACCGGACCTTTTTTTGGCACATCTCACTCACTCTGGGATCTGAGCATATCAGAACCAGTAATGGACTTACATTCACACACATCATGATAGGAAGGCATAAATATCCTCATTTTAAACATAGGAAACCGGGGCACAGCAAGATTATGATCCAGAGCGCCCTGTTATTCAGGGGTCACAGCCCTGTTTGTTTTTCCCCAGAACACTGCTCACCACCAAATTTTTACCACCAGTAACAAGGAAGGCCTACAGATAACCGGTCCTTCATTCCATGCCATGTCCTGTTTCAGGTCCAGTCTGTGCAATGAATGAGACAAGATCCAGTGGAAGCATTAGCAACTGGGTATTTACTACTTTTAAATAAGAGGCATGAACTAAAGTTGCACAGACAATCCAAAAATCATGAAACTTCTCAGCGCTTGTCTTTACTACCTTAAAGATATCAGCATTTCTAGCTTATTATGTATTTAAGTAAAAAAAAAAAAAAAAAAAATTAAGCAATCAATGGACAAACCCCTCCTCAGTTTCTATCACATTACTTTGTATTTATAGCCACAGAGAACACCAGCATGATGGCTCCTGCCACTTGAAGGTGCCAGTCACAATTGCTCTGTATGTGGGCTAGCACTGCAACAGTACGGTGCAGACTCTTTTTTCCTACTGGAATTCACATATATTTAGTCAAGACCCAGAAACAGCAAGATGTCACAGGGAGAAACATCTGCTTATTGTCCATATCTGTGATCTTTTTCGCTTTCTTAGCCTCAGTCCTACCTCTTTCTCACATTCTTAACCCTTTTTTCTTCTCTCAGCCCTTGATCAACTTGCTTCTCACAGAAATCCCTGTCTCTGCTCAGTAAATTCTAGTCTCATCTCTGTAGGTTCATCATGCTATTTTTACTCTCTCACCCCAGTACACCTGCTCAGCCTCCCCAGTTCTCCACCTCCACACTCCAATTCCTTATCACAGTTTCTTTTCCCAAACAGCCCCCATTCCTCAGCACCAAGCTTCTAATTTTAGTTGAGGCGGACCATTAAATGATTCTGGCAATTCAGACAAGCAATTTAATTCCTTTATTGAATACAAAAGCCATTTAGCAGTTGCATAGTAAAACCATGCCTGGAAATAAAAAAAACAGATTAGTTTACATACCGTCATATGCAAGCACATGCTTTTTGTAACTATAGCACTGCGCACCCCAAAAACTGCAAGCTGAACTTGCTTGACATCAACCATGCTCGGTAAGAACTGATAATTAGTTTCACTTTATTCTTCTCTGTTACTTTTGCAGGCCCATGTAGCTGTACCGCCCCCTTCTAATCCCCTAGCTTGTTATGAATAGTGGTTTTAGCCAGTTCAGATACCAACTAAAGAGACAGCATCAACTCAGGATCTTGAAAACATCTCTCATATCTCACAGCTTCATCCTCTTAAGTCACTGTTCTTTCCAGTAATGGTCCTAAAAACTGATTTCTACCCTGAAACAGCAAATTCCTTAAGAAAATAGAAATTGTAACTCAGTTTTCTTGTATTTGGGGTTTTGTCTTTTTGGAGAGAGGAGAGGTAAAAAAGTTTTAATCTACAAGACAACTTGATGCTTGATGATGCAAAAAAAGCTCTGACTCAGTAGCGCTATTCATATAGAACACAGGTAGCATCAAAGACGAAAACTTTGACAATAGGGTTTAGGGAAAAGCACATTAACAACAACTGTAGTGTTACCTAAATAACTAGTGAGGCACAGAAGATTCTTCACCTACTCTGCAACAGTTCAGGATATTCCTGGGAAGTTATCAAATCCTTTTCAGCCAAAAGGGTCATTATGTTAATTTAAAGCATTGTTAAATCACTGTTTGACAATTATGTTAATTTATCAGTAACTCCAAGTTTAGGTAGACTTTGCAAATACTCACAGAATCCTTCAATCTTGTCAGCTGTCTTGCTCCATGCTACCTGCCTGGTTTCCATTATGACTTGAATAGTTCTCCTTTCTGGATTACTCTTCCTAAGACTGAACACTGTCATAACAGTTCCCAGCTCCAGGGTCCTTTTGATTTGGCTTTTCTCATACTCTGGCAGCACTCCATAGTCTATACTCTTTCTGGGCATTTTCTTCTTTTTTTTAAAATCAAATGTTTATGACTTTCAGCGTCCTGAAGAGAAAAGGTAAGAAAGAGAGAAAATTCAGTATTTAAAACAACACTTCTTATTTCTTTAAAAACATATTTGTATAATGTGTAACATATACATTTGTATGCTAAAGCTACCCAGCAGAGGTTCCTTCCCCTTCAAATACATGGCAGATACAGGGTGAACATTAACAGCATCCTTGCCAATTTATCCTGCAAGAAAGTAGGAATAGGCTTCACAGCAGGAGGTGACACTAAGTCCTGACACATTGTTACAAAATCTGTTAAAAATGAAGAGCTGGGTGGAATAGCTACCGCATGCAATGAATAGATTTAAAGCTTGCAGCAAGACTAATGCCTCTGTTTTAGCAGCAACATACTAACTGCTTCCTCAGTCTTGTAACACAACATTGTGTTCCAGAGCAAAATCCAGTGAGCTAACGTCAGCTTAGCCCAAATATGTAAAAATCACGTGAATGAAAACACTTCCCTATATGCTCTTTTATGCACGCAAACCTTCCATTGCATATGCACACCCACCTTTACAAATACAGATTTCCATTTCTAAAATCTCATCAGCTTTGCTACATAAAGGTATGTGACACAAGCAGAAAACATAAGATGACCTGGAAGAAATACTGAACATAAGTATACCTAACTAATAGGACAAAAGAGTAAAAACTACCAAGAATGCAACGCATCAAAATCTAAATAGAACAATACCCCCAGCGCACAATAAAGAAAGCATTTAAGTCTAACAGTAATTAAAAATAAATAAAACTGAGGAATACACAGGAAACATGAAAAATTCTTCTGTTCAAACTAACGCAGAACTATGTTAAAAAACTCTGCTAAAAGAGCAACGTTCAGTGAGTCCGTAGCATTTTCTGTAACGTTTTCTACGTTCCTTCCTACCGAAAAAAGTAGTGTAAATGCAATTATATGGCACGAATTGCTTTTATCGTGACAGTTTATCTCATTCACCAAGCCTTCTCCTTTTTTCGCTAGTATAATCAATGGCCAACTTAAGGATTATTCAACAGGAGAGTTACACGAGCAAGTCTTGAACAGTTGGCCTGAAAAGTACCTAGTACAATAACAAGTGGAACCTTTTTCTGTAATACCTAGAAGGTTTTCAATATTAAGGATATCACTTATAAATTATACGTGCACACCAGATGTAAAACATAAGCCTAACACACCACATATTCTGTTCAAATGCCCTTTCTTTTACCAAGAAAGCACCTCATAGCACTAAAAAGAAAGAAAGAACCTCTGAAGTCTTCATACAGCAATACTGTTTTTCCCCTAGAAAACAGCAAACATTACTAGTAGTTCCAATGTAGAACACACTTCCTTAAACAAAGTTCAAATCTTGAAGGCATTCATCTTGATTTGATAACTCTGAGAGTCTCATAAAACGTCAAAAAAAAAAAAATGACTTCAACTCTACCAAATCTCTTTCAAGCATCTGAACTTTTACCTACCATTAAACCTTTGCTTGTGGAGCTTTTCTCTAATTGACATATGGAGAAGCAGCTCTTCTCAGAGATGACTGTTCCTATAAGACTTTGCTTATTGTTTTAGAATATTTGGAGACTTATGTTCCATTAAAAAACCTCGCCAGTTCTATGTTAAGCTGGAAAAATCTTTAGTTCTTGAAACTGAGGATAGGTCAGTTTCCACAACCGTAAGAAATATCTAGAAAATCCCTTTTGTTGTTTGAAATAATGACAACAAGCTTGTGTAAACTCTTTGGGCACTAGAACTACACTGACCTATGAGGAAATTTAAACAAACTGGCTGCCTTCCTGAGAACTTAAAATGAGGGAAATATACAAGTAAATACAAATACTGAAATATGGCAAGTTTTCCATGTCTAAAAAGTATCTGTTTATGCACTTTTAAAACTTCATGGCTATGTGGTAGTTACTCCTGTAGAGGGTATTTTCCTTACTCATATTTCAGGTGGCAGGTATTTGTACACTCAGGACACATCTTGGCAGAAAAAGTTAGAAGAAAGATACATTTGCAACCGCTCTCATAAATATTAACGTTTCTGTACTTCCATCTCCCATACATCATCACATCAAACAGCTAACTGCAACACTGACTACTCCTCAGCAAGTATTGCTACCTACAAACAGAATGCCTTGGAAGCTGCTCTTTCATCCATGCACAAAGAAGGAAGCGATATATTTTTCACACAAATAGCTGGGGCTACTGCCATGCAGGTCAAAACCATCCCCCTTACCCACTTCCTTGAGCTGGACAGGTTTAAAGAATCTCTGGGCACATTCAACCACCAGCCATAGCGTCTCTTCCTCCTTCCTCAGTCCACCGCTCTCCAGCGCAAGCAGTTTCAGTTTCCGTGTTGATAACTAATTTGACCATGCTGCTTCTCGCTTCCCCTTCATGACTTCTTCCAACCCTCCTCCCCCTTACCCCATGTCACTGTCTCCTGACCTGCTCTTCACTGAAGAGCTCTCTTTTCAGCTCTCTCATTAATACCACAAAACTGTCTTTCATCATTGTGTCACTCACTGCTTCCACAGTCCCATCCATCAGACTCCGAAGGTGTCCAGTACAAGCTTTCCAGTCCTTCTTTAAATCTCACCACCTCACAAAAACACTTTTTTTGGCAAACAAAGGAAACAACGGTCTTTTCTTACCTGTGGGGTGGCCTTTTTTGCATTGCCTACCGTAAACTTCAATTGCTCTAGAGCAGCAACCATGTCTCACTGCACGTTTTGCAAAACATTATACAGTTCATGTGGTGTTTAATATCTATTTGTTTGTTACTGACTGTATAAGGAACTCCGCTTTTCTATTAATACTGAAAAACAATACATATCCCAATCTGATGACTGAGAACTGGGAATAATTTTTAAAGGTGATAAGCAACAGTAGATTTTAGCTAGAAAGTACAAGGTATAGCTGTAAAGTGAAACATGACTTAGAACAACATGAAAAGGAATTTCTAAACAGAGCCATTTACTAAAAGGCAATGAAACATTTTTTGAGCGATGTAGTCACTTAGTACGAAGGAACTGCCTCTCAGAAGTGGCTTCTTAAACAGTTTCCGCTGAATATAATACACTAGACTTCCCCTTTTAAAGCAGCTCTTTCTTCCAAAAACAGAACGAACGTTGTTTTTAATCTAACTTAAACCCTAAGCCAAAAGCCAGGTTTTTATCCTCAACTACAGCATTGTTTCATAGTAAGTTATCTACTTCATCAGTTACAATATTTTTTTCTTCCTTTTTTTTTTTTTTTTAAATTTAATCCACCTAACAAACCATTCCTATATTGATCCTCACAGGAAAAAGTTCAAGAATAATCGTGAACGGGAGCTATAGCGAGTTTCCTAACAGTGAAATATATTAAATCACCCAAAAGAACTAATAGAAGCCCTTGATTTTACACATAACTTTATAATAGTTTTCTTACACCCATCACCGCACAACTACGTATCAATAATTTTTCTACCCAGCAAACCCTGTTATATATAAATATATAAAAAATATATAGATCAAGGTATAAAAATACCCTCATCAACACAGTATCTGGCTACCTCCAAACTAGGGGAGTACAACACCCTTAAGTGGGATAAAACATTACCTCTCTTCTGCAGAATAGTCATCGAAGACTAAAGTAGTTCAGCATCACCCAAACGATTCAACAAGTGAGCTACTAATCACAGAAATATCTCATAAGGTCTAGTTTGGACACAGACACCAATGCGTGACTCTAACTGTCAGCACTATGGGAGCAAAACTTTGGTAGCATCCTGTCTTACGTTCAGGATTGGAACCATTCGTTACTGTTTGTGTAGCAGCACAAGAGTAATTTCTACATTTTTTTTTTTTATTGATGAGCCTGACTGATTTGGACTAGAAATGAAGACTCACTGCCAGTAACCAGGTGAACGCGGCCTCTGAAAAAAAAAAAAAAAAAACACCTAGTTTTTTAGTTTGTCCAAAGAACCGCACATTTAGTTTTATTTCATTACAGTACCTCATAATTTCAAAAACAAACCCCTACTATCTCAAGGCTGGTCTACAACGCTTACCAAGTAGACCTCTGACAAAACAGCGAAAACAAGGAAAAACTATAGCAAAGACAAATTATAAGCGAACACGCTAGC